ATCTCAATCAAAACAATGCAACCCGTTTGGATAACATGATAGATGCCCATGCATTATGCGTGCACGTGGCGAGTTCACACTGACATTGCAAGCTTCATTTTGTCAAAAAATGCAAAGAGATGTTCCTTCTAAAAGCAAGAGGAAATCAAACTCTCCACTAAAAGCTAAGCTTTTGTCACTAAGACGCTTCCCAATTGAGTCTCTAAATTTGTTTGATGATGACAACTATTTGTTTAGGTTTTATTTTAGCTGTTATTTTACCTTCTTTTATATATTACTGTGTGCTATAATTTTTTTGAAGATATATAGTTAGATTTTGTCTAAGCATTTCACAAACATCTATACAAATATAGATAAGAAGAATTTAGTATAAACACTAACTTTTTTTTGTGAAAAATTCAAAAAGATTAAAAAAAAAGTTACAGGGCATATCAAATTGTAGAAGATGGATTAAAAAATATGTATTGCTAGGTTGATCTTCTATGAATGTGTTGGGAATAATGAAGAAGTAGTGGAGGATGACGGTGGATCAGATTAGGAGGCAGACACCTGCTAGCAAATGAAATTGTCGCCAATAATTAGTAGCAATCAAGAGACAATAATATGGTAACAATCGTCAGATAATGATAGTCAAACAATGATCAATGATCAGGTAATTACCTTAAAAGTTTAATTTGTGGGTGTTAGACCACTTAAACTACAATATGCACATCAAGAGTGGGTTGAGTTGGTCTAAAAAAAAGATCTTTTGCAGAAAAATCTTATTTAAAATTTTTAAAAAAAATTCAACAACTTGAAATAAAAATCTGATTTTCCTAATGTGAAAGCCAATAAAATACTATTTTCGCCTTTTGAATTTTTGTAGAAAAATAAATCTAAATTTTGTTCCTTTTCTTTTCTAATATTTTTTTCTCTTTTTCAACTAAGAAACGATCTTAATCAATCACAAATCTCAACACAAACCGGATTGCATGAAAATAAGTATGCGAGATAATTAACTTATTGCATTCAAATTTGCATAACTTATTGCATGGCATTGGAGGAACTATGTATTCTGACATGCAATAAAAGCATTCTCTAAAATGATACAAAGACTCTATATGTTCTATTGTGGTCTCATCTATCTTGTGTGCACGTGGGAGAAATTTTGACCCCACTTACATAATACATGTATGGGATGTTATCATGTTTTGTTTTGTTCTAGCCCCCTTATTATATGTGGGTGTAGCAGATTAAATAGAGTTTTGAGTGAAAGTGGAGTTATAAGAGGGCATCAGACTGTGCATTATTCACATGCATTAAATAATTTGATAATTCAATAATTAAAGTATAAATGCTATTCTGAACTAATTCTAGTAAATTCTTATGTATATGAATTAATTCTAATGAAATGAGAAAGTTAAATGCAAATGAAACTTTGATAATCAAGATCCTCTGACATCTCTGGTATATCTATATATGTGTGTGTGTGGAATTAGGAAGAGTTCAGGGTGGGCAATTGTCCACCCTAAAAGTTTTTATTTTAGAAGAATAAGTATTTTAACTATCTTACCCACCTTCAATAAATGCAATTGCTCAAAATTTTTTAAAAAATTCATACATAAAATTATCTTTGCCCACCCTCGAAAGAGATGCTGCTTCCACCTCTATATATGTTCAATAAATTCTTATAACGAACTTATTTCAAAGCAAAAATCTGAGAATTGTAAAATTTAGCTTAACCAAGTTTTGATCAGCATATTCTCGCCCAAATTTGTTATTATGCCCACTAATGAGCATTTCATGGGTTGGAGTAGACCTATTAATATTAGACCCGACCCAAAAATCCGACCCGAACCTGACCCGAAAATTTTTTGTTTGGATTGACCTGAACCCGAAGCGGGTCGGGTTCAAGTCCGGAAAACCGACCTGTTTGCAAAACCAAATCGGGTTCGGGTCGACCCGAAAACCAGAAAATGACCCGAAAAGTGGCTGCCCCGCGTTGCCTGCCCCGGCTTCCCCGTGTACTAGCTGCCCCGAGTTGCCTGCCCTGGCTTCCCCGTGTGCCAGCTGCTCCGTGTTGCCTGCCCCGACTGCCTACGTGACCGCGTGGTCCATGTTGATTCGCTTCGGGACGAGGGTCGAGACGCAAATTCTAGCGTCCACATGTGACGTGTGTCGCCTGTCCGGGTCACATCGTCGCTTGCACGAGTCACACACCGCTTGCCCCGCTGGCGGCCGCTGCCGTGCCTGCTGCCGGACAGCCGGAGGACCGAATCGCGTGCGGTGGTGCAGAAAATGCTGGAGGACCGAACCTGAAGCGGGTCGGGTTCAGGTCCGAAAAATCCACCTGTTTGCAAAAACGGTTTGGGTTGACCCGAACCCGAATAGTGTCAGGTCAGTTCCGGATTCGACCCGAATCCGACCCGTGACCCGAAATTGACACCCCTAGGTTGGAGCCTTCAGCCTCTCCACAAAATCACAAAAGGAAAAAAAAAATCCTTTTGGGTTGGATGGGTCTCAAAGCATTTGGATCTATTTTCAAATGAGTGAAATAGATCGATAATCTCAAAGTAGATCTAAGAATTCGAAATGCATCTTGGCCCTTCAAATTCTTTCAATTAGCTTTATAATACTTACAATATATAAGAAATCAATCAAAATTATATTGCACTAATCTTAAAAAAAAAATTCAAGGACTTTTTACTATCCATTTTATTAATAAGTTTAGCTTCCATTTGGGATAATTTTCTTACTAAAAATTTATGTACAAGGAAGCTGTATCAGAAAACAGTAATAAAGTCATCCCAAATGAAGTTTTAGGCTTCGTTTGGGACGGCTTTTTTGTTGCTTCTTAAAACAACTTTTTAGTACAAAATTTAAAAAATTTATACCATAAAGATGCTTTAAAAAGCAACAAGAAAATCATTCCAAACGAAGCCTTAATCAAATATCTTTTGGCAATTCCTTCCCATTGCATTTGTGCTTTGATAGTTAATTTTGGGGTATTTACAGACATACTACTTTCTATTATGTTATTTACATATCTAACACTTTAAAACTTTAACATTTCATGTCTATCATCTATAGATTAAATATGGATGCAAGCAATGAAATATTAAATTTTAAATGGTGATATGAATGGTCCGAATGAAATATAACAATAGCATATTTGATATTAAAATTGTCTATGAGCGGTAGGCATCAAATATTAAAATTTTAGATATTAAATATGTAAATAGCATGATATAAAATTGTATGTATGTAAATCCCCCTTAACTTTTTTGTAAAAAAAAAACAATTAAAAACTTTTTTGTAATACCTCTTTGTAAAAATCGGCAGGATAAGAGGAATTTTTATTGCGTCCTCCCACCTGACGTAGAGATACGTCCTCTCACCGCTAAAAAACTCCATTTTTGCTCGGTATTGCTTGCTATTATTTGGTATTAACGAAGAATATCATCATGTGAAGACCAATAACGAGTTATACCGAGCTATATCGAGCAATACCGAGCAATACCGAATTTTTTCTATGAAAAACTAGGTATTTTTTTGTATTGCTCGGTAAAGCTCTGTATTGCTCGGTATAACTCGGTATTGGTCTTCACATGATGATATTCTTCGTTAATACCAAATAATAGCTAACAATACCGAGCAAAAATCCAATTTTTTAATGGTGGGAGGACGTATCTCTATGTCAGGTGGGAGGACGCAATAAAAATTCGGATAAGAGCCATATTTCTCACAGAGAAAACAACAATGCTTTGTCGTATATAAATTAAATTTCGTAAAATAAATAATGAAAAATATTTTGGTACATTCGAGACGAGTGCGGCGTTCAACAGGAGAATATTTATCTGAGAAGAAGCAAAGAAGGTTATTATTCCTTCAAGGACCATTTAATTTGCCGTGAAGAACATAGTTTGTTTAGACTTGGGCATCGCAGCGGAACAAAAATGAACCACCATCGAATCTGGCAGCTGAACATGCCAATCGGTATTTCTCAATAATGCTTTGTTCGGTTCTTCTGTGATAAATATTCAGATTGAATTATCCGTATGAGCATATTTTAAAAATCATACAATGAATGTTTTAAAAATCTATATATAAATATTAATCATCACTATTTTTATAGTAGTCTTATGAAAATAGAGAAATTATTATATGCGGTCATAAGACTGTCCGGAAGTGAATCAGCATGAGCCACTTTCAACAAAATGATGATGTGGCGCATCCTGATTCACCTCCGAAGATGTCGGATGACCGCACGTAATAATTTCTCCTGAAAATAATATTGATTGATTGCATGGCTTTATATATATATATATATATATATATATATATATATAATTGGATAGTATCAAAAGAGTGTTAACTTACATAGGGGTGTCAATTCGGGTCAACGGGTCAGGTTTGGGTCGAACCCGAAACTGACCCAAACCTGAAACTGACCCGGCACTATTTGGGTCAACCCGAACCCGACCCGTTTTTAAAAACAGGTCAGATTTCTGGACCCGAACCCAACCCGATTCGGGTCCTAGTCAACCCGATCTGACACGAATGACCCAAAGTGGACCTAAAATTGCTAGTTTTTGGGTCAAAAATACAGTCAATTTTTGAATTTCTAGTTAAAATGGATCAATCTCGGGTTTCAGGGTCAAATATGAGTTTTCGTGTCCATTTCGAGTAATTTTCAGGTCAATTTCGGGTTGCTGGGTCAATTTGAACCCGACCCGATTTTTTAAACGGACTGATTTGTTGAACCCGAATGACCCTAACCCGGATTTATCCGGATCTAGTTCGGATCGTGTCAAAAATTGACACCCCTAAACTTATATTTATTTACAAACTCTTAGAGCAATTTTTTTTTTTTTTTTTTTTTGGGGAATCTCAAGCAAATAATAATGCATTCCGAGAAGAATCTTATTCGATCTCATCACGAATGGACCCACAGCCGAAGGCTTCTCACTTAGAAGAACTTCTTTTATGAATTTTCACTCTATATATAGCTCCATTGCATGGCACTCCCCAATCCAACACAAGAGAAGTTCACATCTTTCTCTTCTACTCTGCTCGTCTCCTCTCCTGTTCTGTGAAGTCTTCACCACCCTCTGAAGAAATGCCAAAGGTAAAAACCAATAAAATATTTCGAATTCCTAATTTTATCACTTTCCCACCGCACGAAATGGGGTCTTTCCCCCCAATTTCTTCTCGTTCCGGCCAATACCTCGCCATTTTAGTGCTCTTCAAATGGTGGTGGCAGAGCTATCATTGACCAGCCAATGGAACTATCAGATTTGAACGGAGAGTGGAGGTCAAGCCGCGTCATCGCCTACCTTGGGCACGAGCTTATTCATTCTCTCTACGTCTATCTCTATATATAGTCACTTCCATGAACGTTTCTTCGGCACTCCAGTTCTCCTCGTCTCACTCTGCTTTTGTTTTCTCTGTTTCTTTCTCTTTTGTAAGATGGAAGAGACCGGCGCTGCTAAGTACTATCAACAAGCTCGGCTTGGTTCCATGGATGTCTCTATAGAGCTCGGGCGTCAGCATGCACTGGAAAGCTTAGAAAGCTTCGACGATGATGGGAGAATGAAGAGAACTGGTACAGAGCACGAGGAACCCTTCCTCTGTTTTATATGAGAAAAGAGAAGGAATTCTGAGTTTTGCTATTTTTTTACAGGTAATATGTGGACGGCGAGTGCTCACATAATAACGGCTGTGATAGGCTCCGGCGTGCTTTCGTTGGCCTGGGCTATTGCCCAGCTCGGCTGGGTCGCTGGTCCAGTGGTCATGATCTTATTTGCCTTCGTTATATACTACACATCTTCTCTGCTCACCGACTGCTACCGAACCGGCGATCCCATCTCCGGCAAGCGTAACTACACTTATACCGACGCGGTCACCTCTTACCTCGGTCTGCTCTTGCTCCCACCATTCTCAAGATCCAAATTTTACTACAAAAGGTTTCAACTTTGGATTTAAAGATGTTTGTTTCTCTTCTCTCAGGTGGAGTGAAGGTTAAGCTCTGTGGCTTTATTCAGTATGCGAATCTGTTTGGAGTTGCCATTGGTTACACCATTGCTTCCTCTATTAGCATGACGTACGAAAATGCCTGCCTTCATTCTTGCTCTGTTAAACTCTTTGGATAAAAAGAGAGAACTAAAATCAAAACTGGTTGTTTTTAAAAACAGAGCAATCCGGAGATCAAATTGTTTCCATGAGAAAGGCCACAAGAGCCCCTGCCACGTCTCAAGCACCCCTTACATGATCATCTTCGGCGTTGTAGAGATAATCTTCTCGCAAATCCCTGACTTCGACCAAATTTGGTGGCTTTCCATTGTCGCCGCTGTCATGTCCTTCACCTACTCCTCCATCGGCCTTGCCCTCGGAATAGTTCAAGTTATTGGTAATATACACATTCATCTACCTTCTCATCTTACAAAACAAGTTCCTCTAACAATATTCTTCTAAACCTCAATCTGTTTTCGAGCAGCGAACGGTGGCATCAGTGGAAGTCTCACCGGAATCAGCGTCGGCAGCGCAGTCACCGAAACCCAAAAGGTCTGGCGCAGTCTCCAGGCTTTTGGTGATATCGCTTTCGCTTACTCCTACTCTATGATCCTCATCGAAATACAGGTAAAAACTCCCTCAAAAACCAATCAAACGGCAAAAAATGCACTCCAAACACTTTTTTTCTTCTAAACTCCTTTCTCTTCTTCAGGATACTATCAAATCCCCACCTCCATCCGAAGCAAAGGTGATGAAAAAGGCGACTCTTTTAAGCGTGGCTGTCACAACCTTCTTCTACATCCTCTGCGGCTGCATGGGCTATGCCGCCTTCGGCGACGAAGCCCCGGGAAACCTCCTCACCGGGTTCGGCTTCTACAACCCCTTTTGGCTTCTCGACATCGCCAATGCCGCCATCGTCATTCACCTTGTCGGCGCATACCAAGTCTATTGCCAGCCTCTCTTCGCCTTCATTGAGAAATGGGCGAGCCAGGCATGGCCAGGCAACGAGTTCATCTCCAAAGAAATCAGAATCAAACTCCCTGTTTCTTCCAAGTCATATAACCTCAGTCTCTTCCGGTTGTTGTGGCGCACGGCCTTTGTGATCATCACCACCATCATCTCCATGCTTCTTCCTTTCTTCAACGACATTGTTGGTCTCCTTGGTGCTCTCGGCTTCTGGCCTCTAACGGTCTACTTTCCAATAGAGATGTATATAGTTCAGAAGAAAGTGCCTAAATGGAGCATGAAGTGGTTTTGCCTTCAGATTCTGAGCATGGCTTGCCTTGTGGTTTCTATCGCTGCTGCGGTTGGCTCTATCGCCGGCGTTGTGTCTGACCTCAAGGTTTTCCGGCCGTTCAAGTCCAGCTATTGATAATCTGAAACATGGAAGTGTGCTCTGCTAATTTTGCTATGTAATTGATACTGTACGTTAGATCTGGTTCTATTTCTGTTGCTGCTTTGTAATATTTGGCTTAAAGGAAAATAGAAAGCGTTTGAAGATTTCGTTGAGATGTAGATTTGGGACCCGAAGGTTTGGGATTTTATTTTTTTCCTTTTTCTTTAATGAGAATTTTGTGAGAATTTTGAGAGTTGAGGGAATATAAGAGTGTCAAAATCGGGTTACGGTTTGGGTCAAACTTGATATTGGACTGCGACTGTTTGACCTGATTCAAATCCGACCCGTTTTGCCAAATGGGTTAGAACCTGAACCCGACCCATCGGGTTTCCGAGTTGACCTGACCCGACAAGAAACCACCATACAAGCCCCTCCAAGCTCCCGTCGTCATCGTCGTTAATTCTAACCCAACTGTAGAACGGCGAGCTCCCTCATATCATCATCATTGCTTCTAATCCAACTACAGAACAACGAGCTCCCTCATGTCATTGTTGTTGCTTCTAATCCAACTACAGAACGGCAAACTCCCTCCCATCGTCGTTGCTTCCAATCCATCTGTAGAAGCAGAACGAGACCCTCCCGAATCTCTTCTTCGTCGATGCTTCCAATCCAATTGCAGAAGCACTGAAGCAGAACATCGAGCTCCCTCCATCGTCGTCGTTGCTTTCGAACCAACTGCATAATCGAACTGCAAGCTAAGCTATCATGACTTCTGACCCGACAGGAAGGAACGTCGTCGAACGAGGTGAAGAATGGCGAGAGAAGAGGAAAAGCAAACCCTAGTTCCTAGCATGGGCCTGCTCCTGCTGGAGTCAGGACCATGCCTGCACGAGGGCAGGCGAACTGGCAAAGAAATCTTGTCTGAGCAGGGGAATCGGGTCAGATCCGAGTCAAGTTTGGGTTAGCGAGTTAACCCGAACCATACTCAATTTTTCAAATAGGTTGATTTTTGGAACTCAAACCCAAACCGTCTGCCAAACAGGTTGATCCTAACCTGCAATTTTCAAGTCAGGTTTTTAGGTCATGTCAAATATTGACACACTAAGGGAATATAATTTGAAGACAATGATGAGATGATGTAGAAATGTCATATAGGTCATTATGTACCTTCCATTAAATGTGGACATGACATAAACAGGGGATACAACCTAAAAATTCGATCCGAGCTTGAACAAAAAATTCCTAGGTCCAATCGACCCATTTAATAAACGAATTGAGTTCGAGTTGACTCACCAACTCAAAATCAACATATATCTAACCCGTCAACCCCAAAATATAACTATCTAAGCTATCAGATTTATAGCGATGATGCTTCTCGTCTCTATTACAGCATTCAAAAGAGCTGCATTAAAATCATTTTTTATTATAAAGGATTGGTGGGTTGGGACGGGTTAATCAGATTGCTGATGGGTCTATTTTAGGTATAGTATTTTAATCTATTTATTAAATGGATCAGATGGACATAAAGCGAATCAATTTTGATTCAAACCCGAACCGAATCCAAAAATTCATTTTTGACACCCTTAGACAAAACTTAGAGATGATTAGGAGGTAGCACAAGAACATTATAGAAGCTATTAGAGATGATCGATCGTATTAATCATTTTATCAAAAAGTAATTCTAAATAACCCAAAATAAATGGATAATAGAGATAATAAGGCTAATATCTTCGAGTGATTGAATGACCCAAAATTGATTGAAGAAGAAGAGAATCATTAGAAGGAAATTGAAATAATTTTGAACTGAAAAATATGTATGATTTAATTTTAAAATTTTGGATATAAAAATAAATATTCATGAAAATAATAATAATATTTCTTCTTCAAGAGGATAATAATCACACACATTTGCAATGCCTTTCTCCCACCAATATTTGTCACCTGCCACCCAGCTACCACTCAACTATCTCCATCTAAGTAGAGAATAAAAAAAAAATTAAGCTAAATATTAGCACTAATTAATATTAAAAAGTATTAGTATCAATACTATTTAAATTAATTAATAATGTATTATATTTATTTTAAAACAATTATAATAATTATAAATTCATCGAGAGCAAATATATCAGGATATCATGCCAATAATTATCTGCCCTTTTTACCTACAAAATTGTCCTTAATGAAAAAGCTTTTTATTTTTTTCATTAATGAGAGGAGAGTGACGATGGAATGACCTCACAAGCAAATATGCCGCCCACAATCCGATCAAATATTAAATTAATATTAGAGATATATACTTAGGCTTAGTTTGGGACAGCTTTTTTATTGCTTTCTTTCTAAAGCGGAGTTTTAATACAAAATTAAAAAATTTTAGACTAAACTCCGTTTTAAAAAGCAGTAAAAAAGCCGTCCCAAACGAAGCCTTAGCATGCAGTGAAAGCCTTAAGTGTTGGCCCGTGTAAATTGGTGTGGGTTGCATGTTAGGTCGATCAGGATTTTTATTGGCCTAAAGACAGTGCTTCCTCGTCACAAAAAAAAGCAAGTTATGCCCCCATATAATTCATCCAAGCCAATTTGATTTTTTACCAAATAGAATTACTTCTGACAATATTATTTTAGCATCTAAATTTTTTTCCCGCTTTAAACCTCTTGGGAAGTCTAAACTTTTCTATGCAAAGATTGATATTTTTAAAGTATTTGATATGGTTTCGAGGAGTTACTCATCCAAAGAATGGGGGATAAAGGTTTCTCTATTTTGTTTGCGTTTTGGATTAAAGTTTGTATGGAAGATGTTCATTTCATGGTCTATTTCAATGATGTCTTACATGGTTATTTTAACTCATCATTCATGCAAAGACAAGGTTGCTCCCTTTTCCCATGTCTTTTTTGCATTATGTATGCTTTCTCAAATTTGCTTGATAGTCTTGTTAACAACCAATCTTTTGGGGTATTTTTTGTGGCCGATAACCAGCTCTTAGTTACTATATACTTGCGACCCTTTTGTGTTTAGAAATGCTAACTCTTTTAATGCAATTGCTCTAGTTGATCTGTTAAAATTTTCTTAAGCTGCCTCTGGTTTGAAAATTAATCAAGCTAAAAGCTATATTAGTTTTTCTTTTGGCTTTTTCTACTCATGGGAGATTTCTAACTTCTTAAATTTGATTTTGGGAGGGAGCAAATTTATGTATTTGGGGGTTTTTATCTTCCCTAAAAAACTACAGGTCTATGACTTTCAGCCTCTTATTCAAATGAAAACATATTTATTGGATGGTTGGAAAGCCAAGCTACTATCTTTTGTAAATAGATTACAATATGTTCGCTTTTGCATTGAAGTTGCATTCCCTACTAGATGAGATGCTCTATTATTCCTAAAATCTATTGCAAATGCAATGATAATTTGTGTGCTAGATTTCTATTTCAAGGTGATACTAATGTAAAAAAGCTGCATCATATCTCTAGAAGAAAACTTCTTACCAAAAGCCTATCAAATTCTTAACCTCCCTTCTATATAGGCCATACATTATGCTTTTTTCTATTCATTCAATTGGTTGTTGCTCACTATTGGCAGTCTTTTTGGCCGCTGGATTAGACATTATTATGCTTTAATTTGAAACCCCCTAGAATGTCTCTATATTATTGAGGCATCTATTCCAAGTGATTGAAAAGGTTAAAGTGAACATTTATTTCAGCATTTCTTCGCGTAGCTGTCTTACTTTAATGAGGGACCCTTAGTGCAAGGGAAAATTATTATATGATCTTATTAACTATTCATCTATATATTACTGTATTTTAGGCATTTTAGCAATCATCTATAGGAATAACAGTTCCACCCGCCTTTTGGAATTCCCTCCATCATGAAATTGCAAATATTAACCTATCCAATGCCTTTGAGACCACTCTCTCTTGGTGTGATATCTAGAAGCCTAAATTTCATTTTTGTGTAGGACATTTATAAAAATTTGGAAAAAGTTAGTTGGCAAAAGTTTGTTTGGCATAAGCATTACTCTCTTCGTTTTTCTTTTTATACTTTGTTGCTGTTAGCTGGGAGCTTTAAAATAGCTGACAAATTAATCAGGAGGAATATCCCTATTCATCTTGAATTTTACTCTCATGTCTATTTTGAATGTGATTTCTTCTTTAAAATTATCACTGTTCTTCTCCCTTGGGCTGGCACATTCTTGTGCAAGCCTTTCGCACTTCAACATTTTGCCTATATTCGAGAGATACCTTTCGTTACTAATATTGCCAAGAACTTATATTATCTGATTGTTTGTTGTTTTATTTATTTCTTTAGGCGGCAAAGAAATGGGAATAGATATGGGGGTTCTTTTCTTTTCCACAACACTACGTTCAGCAATATCAAGAAGGCTATTTGGTCCAAAGTTCATAAGTGGAAGAATTTTGATGAGATTAAACAATTATTCTCATAATACTAGCATTATTATGCTTATTTGTGTTGTTTCTGGACGACTGGGTTGTAACATCTCTATATTCAATTGTGCGAGCTCTATATTTTTTGTTGGACAATGATGAATCTTCGTCCATTGTCATCCCTGGATGGCTTCCGCATTGACCTGGCAGCCACGATGTTTTTGCTTGTTGCTTACTATCCCATACTTTATTACGATCTTGTTCATGCCTCTGACACCATTGGACCTAGCTCTACCCAACAACCAGTCTGTATCTGCTTCATTGATGATTAATATGATTATTACGGGACCATTTGTTACTTCTTGAGTCCAATGACTTTCTAGTATTATTTGATTTTTTTTTTTGTGTTATAATAAACTCTTTTATGCTACAAATCCAATCGACTTATCTCCTAAAAGCTTTCTCTAAGGAGTTTTACCACAAACCTCTCAAGTTTTCAAGACCCTGAGCACTGAACATTTGCTGCACTAGAGTGGGAAACCTTTCTAATATCAGTACAGTAATTCAAGTCGATGGCAGCCAAAGGGGATCGGATCCTCTAGCCATCATTTGAATTAATGGAGCTAAGCTTGATATGACAAATATGGGAGGTTAAAAATAGAGTAGTAACTAGATTAGGGGGGTAATGGAGCCAAGCTGACATGCGAATCAGCTCGAACTCTATTCGCTAAAAAGTTCATTAGTTGATCTTAGTGAATCATAATTCTGATTTGTGTTTAAATTCAAGCTCATATATTATACGAGCTCA